ATGCAAAAATTGGCGATGACAATATGAAAATTTCGAGAAAATTTTGGTAAATTGTTTTAAATTTCCATACACTTCTACCCGAATTCAGATGTAAACTCCTATAATTAGCTTTGAAAACTCCTGAGCTCAGCAGCTGAGGAAAGCGATTACATATATTTCTCCTATTATTACTCACAGAACGCCCATTAGCAATTTTCGTCTTCATCATTTCCTCCAACAACTCGACAGCTTTATCTCTCATTCCTTCACTAGCATACCCCTTCAGCATAGTAGTCATCGGAACCTAAAAAAATGTCTCCACCGGGAATCGAACCCGCGACCTTTGGATCCTACCACAGAGGGCCCCACCGAGTCACGCATCTCCGCCAGAAACCTACAACAATGACAATTGCAACCTTAAAGAGTGCCAAACTGCATTGACCGAGAAAAAATATTTCAGTGGAGTTTCCCCCGTTTTACGTGAAGCGGTGTAAAACTCCGTGAAAAACGCGATATTCGCGGCGCTATGCAGTAGTTGCGAAATATATTTCTTACTAGTGTTATTCATATCACGGATGAAAATTCAGTGGAGTTTCCCCCGTTTTACGTGAAGTGGCGTAATACTCGGTGAAAAACGCGATATTCGCGGCGCTATGCAGTAGTCGTGAAATGTATTTCTTACTAGTGCTATTCATATCACGGATGAAAATTCAGTGGAGTTTCCCCCGTTTTACGTGAGGTGGCGTAATACTCGGTGAAAAAAACGCGATATTCCCGGTGATATGCAGTAGTCGTGAAATGTATTTTTCACTAGTGTTTTTCATATCACTAAAGGTGAAACTTCGGCGACTTTCAACTCCTCGAAGAACTCTCCCTCGCTTTGAATGTTAGTGATAAAGAAATATATTTTTGCTTACTTCAGCTGAGCTCAGGAGTTCATATATACAAATTTTTGTAAAAAGTATACAGGATTCCCCCTAAATTTCCTCATAATTGTCACCAACACATGTAGTCGATCAGTGCTGGAATTTATGTTAGCTTTCCTCAGCTCAGCTCGAGAGTTTCCTCACTAATTATACACGAGTAGAAATGTACAGAAACCAACAACAATCTCCCAAAATTTCCTCAAAATTTTCATATTGTCACCAACATATTTTCCCACACACTTTTACTTACTCTTCCGCCTTAGTAATATCATCGCATCGAACACATACGTTGATGATGTTAGCATAGGTATGCTTATCAGGTCGACCTCCAGCTTTTTTGATACTATCCATAATTCCCAGAGCCGTCACTGAAATTGATCTACCTCGTGCTGCACAGTGAGAGCGCTACTACCCAATTCTTTTCTTTCGGCCGCTCGAGTAAGCTTCTTGTTGAAGGGCATCACATCGACTTTTTTCTCGCGTTTTTGTTGATTTTTCTTGTTCTTTTTCCCTTGACCGATCTGAGTCGCACAACAAAATTACTCATAGGCTGTTTTAGAGGAGTATATGTTCGCTCGTTACGGTAGAAAATGCACGAAAACTAATGATAATTTTCATATTGTTGCCAACACGTGCAGTTGTGTGGTGGATTGCCGACCTCCGTTTAGCCTTGCGTTTCATTCTCCACAGAGTGAGAGTATATAATGCACGAAGATATGTGACGGTTCCGCGAAAATAAGGAAGAACACCGAGATACCGATTATGATTTACGAGGAGATGAGTAAATTTTTGCTATTGTAATCATTCTACATAGAGTTGCACCCTTCTCAGTGGTTCTTTCTCCCTCTGATTCACTTACCCACTCGGGGTTTGAAACAAGTCCGTCACCATTCACTCGACGAACTCTCGGATCACGAGAACTACCGTTCAGTCAAAAAGATGTCTACAGTTGACCATGTGCATATATGCGTAAGTAGACTCCCCCTACTACTACTACTAATACTACTACTACTGCTACCACTACTACTACTACTACTGCTACCACTACTACTACTACTACTACTACTACTACTACTAATACTACTACTAATACTACTACTAATACTACTAATACTACTACTACTACTACTACTACTACTACTACTACTACTACTACTACTACTACTACTACTACTACTACTACTACTACTACTACTACTACTACTACTACTACTACTACTACTACTACTAGTACTACTACTACTAGTACTACTACTACTACTAGTACTACTACTACTACTACTACTACTACTACTACTACTACCTTATTGATCTTCTCACCCGAAGCCAGCTTCTGGATGAGACCGAAGCGGATCTTCATAAAGAGCAATGACAACTGAATAACATCCGAGATCACAAAATATATAACAACAAATAAAATACAACTTCATGAAACAATTACGTAAGGAGGAGTTCGAATCTTCTCATGTGGGAGTCCAGCAGCTTTACGAAGGAAGGACTCGACCATAGTAGGTAACCATTTAACTTTGAGAAAAAACGTTGCCCAAGGGTTTGATAACAATGGGGAAAATGTTGCTAATGTGATGATGACATTTACATGGGAAACTGATTGAAGAATGTGTTCCTAGCCATCCGCATTGATCAGCCTTAGTCGTAGGCTTGCCTTTAGCTACTAGCTGCTTAGTCTTGCTATACACTGATGTATCTACATATTGAAAAAACTATGTTGTTGTGTTTTTTGTGGAAACAGAATTATACACGTTTGACATGGTAGATTATACGAGTCACAAGTGAAGCGTTCATCAGCCTTAACAAATCAAACAAATAAACAGAGCTCACAAAGAGACGGGCGGAACAATGGTATGCTGTTGTGTTTGTCATGGCTCCTAAGACGAATCTCCTCATATCTTTGGTCGTCGCCCGCCCGACCGTTTTGCTCAGTACTAACTCGTTGCAGCATGATCAATTAAGTAAGACTAAGATTTGATTTCTCTCCTATGGTTGTGTTGAACGATGATTATCTCGACAACTTTCCCAACGAGTCCGTAATGGCCAATGAGCATACCAAGGCCAATCAACATTATAGGTTCCTGGATGATACTCTAGACCATAGCTGTCACTCAGTGTAGATGTGTGAAGGGCGAGAGCACGTTTCAAACGACACAGGGGCGTAAGTATTGAATTTGGAAGATGTGGAGTTTCACGACCGTGATATGAAAAACACTAGTGAAAAACCTATTTCACGACTACTGCATATCACCGCGAATGTCGAGTTTTTCATAGTAGAGTTTTACGCCCCTTCATGAAAAATGTGTGAAACTCCTCTTAGAACAGGATTGATTGAGTTTCGCAAAATAACTGGCTTCTCCGCAAACATAATAGTTATACATGTTAGCGAATATGAGTCACAAGCGAAGCGGTCATCAACCCTACCAGTCAAACAAATGGACCCAATCCGCAGAGGAATCGTAGGAATTATGGTATGTACTATTCGCCTACTGAAAAGTTCGGGCTGACTCGACGAAGTGAATCGGGCGTTAATGGTCGGTGCACGAATTCGGAAAACGGGGCCCTATTTCGAGCGGGCGTACCAATAAAAAATCCCAATTCTCACAGTGCAAGTGCAAGGCTGTTTAGATCGAATCTGGAGCTCTACATGAGTTCATGAGCATTCCCTGTAACCGCCTAAGTGGATCTCCATGCCGCAGAGGGGGATGAACAGTGTATCGCTCCTGCAATGTAACGCAACGATAGGAGAAGTGCAGCTAGAGGTTGGCAAGAGTTCAGAAGACTATATTCTAGAGCAGATATAACAGGTCACTACTGAAAATTGGTAAAAAAGCCATAATTTCTACCGCTGAGACGAAACGCGCTGTATTTGAGACAGTTTCACATATCAGTGAGACAATCATACATCTTCTACAAAGACGCTTTTGAAAGCTCCCAGGGTAAGATAAAGAGTCTGAGTCATCCTGATTAGAGTTATATACACCAGTTACATGACCATCATCAACGTAGTTATCATCCGCCCCAAACTCTGCCTATAATGCAATCAGGCTATGATATCGATGATGTTGAGTTGGACTATGGAGATGATACTTCACTTGGAGACATCCCAGAAGACAACTTGAGGATAACTACGTTGATGATGGTCACTCTGTCCAGAATGACTCAGACTCTCTACCTCACTCTGGGAGCTTTCAATCAACTTGTTGTTAGCAGATCCAAGTTGGTGTCCCCACAGCGATCCCTTCTGATATAGCCTCGGACAAATCTCGACAAGCCGTGACAGCATGCGAGTTCGCAGATCTCGTGACCCCACCGAAGGACCTCGAGATAGGCCTGTTTATAGTCGTCGCTCAATGGCGAGAGATCACAGGGTACGTCCCAGCCCATGTCGGCAAAACAACCTCCAATAATGGACCTCAGCGCATCTGCCAGCATCCTCGCGGATGAAGGATAATAAGACATATACACCGGAGTAATCTTTTTTGGTGAGCTGTTGAGATAAGGACGCTGCCCGGCGGAAAAACTCGAGAGCTCGACCAAGTCGAAGAGCTCGACGACAATCCGACAGTTGTGTTGAGAGCGCTCCAGTGTCTACAATGTCGCCCGCCCATTATGATGATGATGAAACGGCGGTTAATCGATTGTTGATACTAAACAATACTGTTTACTCAAATTCCTGGGATCCGACATCTAGTTAACCCACCATGTTCATCCACGCAGACAAGGATAGTGGGAAAATTAAAGTTTTCCGATGTTTTTACTCTATTGCTATTCTTGTAGTTACTGTCCAACATCATGGCTTGGTTCACTTCATCATCATCATCTGCTACGACCGCCGAGCAAAGCGCACCTGAGGAGGTAGTAGACGATGATCGAAAATTGGTACCTGCGATATTCATTGAGAAATTACGAAGGGTGGTTTCCTTTTTTCGATCACACTGGAGTTTCACCCTAGTGATATGAAAAACACTAGTGAAAAACATATATCACAACTACTGCATATCGCCGCGAATATCGCGTTCTTCGCCGAGTTTCACGCCACTTCACGTAAAACGGGTGAAACTTTACTGTAGGACTTCAGAAAGTCTTTAATTTTACTAATATCTCGTTGATACTGGATGGCCAGTAATATTCCTACTAGGTTGAGCACACGCCCAGGGAGACGGCAATGAGATCAGTTCTCGCAGCGAGGGTGAAGATGATGGGATGAGATCGACAAGTCGCTGCTGTGATGTCGAAGAAGACGCTTGTGGTAAGGATCATATGTGGGCTGGTTTCATACTTTCATACCCTAGTGATATGAAAAACA